AAAAAAAAAAAAGAAATGGAATCTTCCAGTTTGTAACTTTTTGCCATCCGCACGTTTACTATAGTAGGAATTCATCTCTTTTTAAATTGCTGAGTTGAATCCCATGTTTAACCATTCACCCTGTGAGGATCACCGTGAAGCTAAGATGATGAGCTCCCTTCTTGCAAAGTCGGAGCCATTCAGGACTCTGTTGACGAAGAGAGTATCCGTTCTTGCTTCTTTCCCTCCTCTGAGGAGGAAATGTTTCGGTCTTTGAATATTAAATGTGATGTTAATCATAAACAAACTAAGTATAACTCAGTGCCATGAAGTCAGTGCTGACACATAGTGACCCCTGTGGGTTTCTGAAACTGCAGCTGTTTTTCGGGACTCGAAAACCTAGTCTTTCTCCCTGGGACCTTCCAGTGGTTTCCAGCTGTTGACCACGGGGACCACAGCCCAATGGGTGTTAACTATAGGTTCTGTGTAAGTGCTCTTTAATCCCACAAGTCTAGGACCTCTGCTCAGTTTGGGGGTTTTGTTGTTGTTGCTGTTGTTCCTTTTTTATCTATTTTCATTCAGGCTAAATATTTTCTACTGTTCAGTTTTCTGAGCCATTGCTTCTTTCCTCTGTCCCTGGGCCCATCTGTCAAGCTTTGAATCGCAATCATTTCTTTTCTAAAAGCTTTTGTTTCTTAGCTGAGACTTAGTATTTTTTTTAAAAAATTTGAATGCTGCTGATTCTTGCTCACGGAAGCATTTCTATGAGGGCTGCTTTCAAACCTGTGTTAGTGATCTTACCTCTCTGACAGCTTGGTGTTGTCATCTAGAGATTTTCTTTTCTCATGTAGCCTGAAATTTCCCTGATGCTTTGTCATAAACAGTGATTTTTCTATTGTAACCTGGACATTTCCATACTATTTTGAGACTGGATCTTACTGGAAACTTTTGCTTTACCTGGCTTTTTACAACCCACTCTGGCAGGAACGGCTGGGAGACAGGCTTTAGTGGAAGTGGATGTTCTTCCAGGTGGCCTCCTTACTGCTGGTAAGGAGGTTCCAATCCCCCACGTGGTTTATACTGATACCATGATGGCAAGAGAAATGAGTCATGCCTGGCTTTGGGGAATAAAAAGCTCTCTTTAATTGGCCTTTATGACACCACCAATACAAGGCTTGGGTGTTGTCTAAAGAGCTTCCATGAATGGAAGGAAGTCGAGCTTCCCACTGACAGTTTGTTGGAGTAGCTATGGAGACACAGTGTGTGCCACAGTGTGTGTGTGTGTGTGTGTGTGTGTGTGTGTGTGTATGTGTGTGTATGTGCTATCTGGCTTGACTATAGTAATACTGCCTAACAGTTTTCTGTCTTGTTAGGCTTCCCTTTCTTGGTCCTTTGGCAGAAAGAACTTTGGAGCCTTTGTGATCTTTGCTCACATCCAAATGGAAAGCCCAGAGGACTCATTCTCAGAGCTCATTCTCAACTCATTGCTCAAGTCCCAGCATTCCCAGCCTAGATTTCTGCTTCGTTCCATTTTTCAGTCTATTATGTTTATTGTTTACAGAATATCCAGGGTTTTTAATTGTGTCTAGCAGGAGTAATAGGGAAAAGTATGTATGTCTGTATTCCTTGAGTCTAAAGTGTTCAACGGATGGCACGCAATGCCTCTGAGTTGTTATAGCACAGGTTTTTGTATCATCTATTGGCTTCTAAATGCTGGTATCTGCCCACTGAGTAGGACGTTCTAAAGGGTCAGTGTGTTAGTTATAAAATCTGGTGTCAATTTGAGAGGATTAAGAGTGAAGGGGCAGAGTTTAGCCTGTCAATCAGGTCACAGCTTGATGACCTCATTTAGAGGCGCTAAGGAGATAAATAACTGCTGAAGACAGGACACATGTGGACTCCCTGGGAGACATTCCAGCTGAGAAGACACTTGGAGCTACCCTAGTGCCCTGAGCTGGAGAAGCCAAGTAGAAACCCCTGCCAGTGCTGAGATGCTTACATCGCTACTGGATCTACAAGACTTCTCACCCACTGGCCTGTGATCATCCTGTATTCAGTGTCATTTCATGTATTTTGTGAGTCTGAAGAAAACTTTATAGATTGATATTGGACATATAGGCTAATCTCAGACTTATGGACTTGATCTGGTCTGGGCTGAGACTTTTTCTCAATATTCAATTGCTCTTGTATATAAAGCTCTCCCTTATAAACATATGCATGTCTCTCTGGATTTGTTTCTCTAGTCTACCCAGACTAACACAGTCAGGAACTCCAAGAAGCTGTTTTGAACCAAGGACTTAGGGTGTTATATCTCAAATACTCCAGTCCTCCCCATCTTGGGTGGAATAACTCTGAGGTATATAGTTTCTCTATACTGTTTCTCTGAGTTTATCCATAGGACCAAGGTTCCGGTAAAGGGTCAATTATTTACAGGTGTCTCCCTCTAAGTTTCCAATTAGTATGATGCTGTTTGTGAGGGTTAATGTTATGCGTCAACTTGGCTAGGCCATGGCCTTCAGTGGTTTGGCAAACACTACAGTAGCCTCTATTTTGTGATATGCTGTGGGTAGCCCACTAGTTGGAGGGGAAGTTCCTTAGGCATGTGGCCTGCATTCAAATATATAAATAGATAGTCCAACCAAGCTCTTTCTCTTGATCTTGCACTTGTCTTGTCTGAACTCTATTTCTCGGGACATAAGAAGCTGGCAGTCTGCCACTACATGTGTCAATTTTGGATTCCCCAAACTGCAACCACGTGAACTCAGAAGTCTCTAGCCTGCCTCCTGTCCCAAGAACTTGGGACTTTCCAGCCTCTGCAACTGCATGAGATGTTTCCATGAAGCAAATCTCTCTGTGTGTAGGTATATATAGACACCAGTGGATGTGCTCCTCTTGAGAACCCAGTGTACAGCACTCAGTGACAAGGGCACAAGTAAGCTTCTTTCTCCCTGGGCACCACTTATGCCCAAGGAATACAGAATCTTTACTTTCTCGTCACCCAAGCATTTAAAACATGCCTTTCATAAATTCATCTAATAAAATTCACACCTTTCTGCTATAATTTGGACATCTCACCAACTGTTGTGTGCTTCCTCAGTTTATAGCAGTTTTCAATGTTTTCTTTATTCAATCTTTTCCTCAAATATATGTAAGTAAATAGAGTTAATAACATCTACCGGATATAGCTGTTTGTGCAAGAGCTGATCCTAGTGTCTAGAATAAAGCAAAGGCACAAAATGACTAGCTTTTGTGACTTTTTAGTACTGGTGATATGATGCTCATTTCTTAAGAACGAAACAAGAAGTGTTACTCTGGAAGTGAACGACTGAGGGGAAGGGTACTTCCTTGTCTTTTTCGCCACATTCAGATTGGAGAATTGCAGTGGTTTCTGACCTTGGTATGGATAGAGATACAAGTGGCCATGGCATAGGAGATATTGGAGGGTGGGAAGTAACACTATTATTCTCATTGCACAGATGAGAAAGTGGAGGTCCTAGAAGGCAGAAATTCAAGCCACAAAGCAATCAGCGTCTCTGGGTTTATCATAGATTCTCTGATAAATCTCTCAGTTTAATGTTCTCTCCATTTTCTATACTGTTGCTACTCATAATACAGCAAAAGAAAAAAAAGTATAACAATTTCTTGACCTTTTACCTGTGTCCAAGCTCATGGGCAATGGTGAAAGCCAGAGGGAGTCCAGAATCTTCGTTGATGTTGCAACTCTGGTGAGGCTGGCACATTCCCGACAGATGGGAGAGACCCAGAGTCTCACAGGGCTGATTGACACCGGCACAGATGTCTTTTCTGAAAGCAGAGAATGAAGAGATGCTGACGTGTGCAAGACCATGTCCGGGAAAGAAAGCCCTCCTGCGAAAAGTCAGCATCCAAACTCACCTTCCACAGGATCAGGAAAACCATGCTTTAAAAACAAGCAAAACCAGAGCCAAAACAAACAACTGTCCACGTAAATGTAGGGAACAGTTTTGAATTCATCAAGACTCTCCTGATTTAATTTCTTGATTATTGAATCTCACTGATATCGAACAAATGGGATGTTTGGGAACATATTTTATTTTCAGCTGCTTTCATTCTTGAGCTCAGAAAGCTGAAGTATATTATTTGGTTTTTTAAAAAGAGAGGGAGAAAGGATTTGATGGAAAATTGAAGTTAATTTGAATTGTTAAATGGGGATAATCAGCGATGGGTGGTGTTTTGCAAAAATATAAAACCAGTTCAGCTCTTTCTGAGACCTCTGCTCTAAACTAATCATAAAACGTTTTCTCCTTCATGAAAATGGCAACTGTTCCCACCTGCTTATCCAGAGATGAACTCAATTGTCTATCTAACCCCACAACACTAACAATATCGTGTGCATGCATGTGCACATACACCCACACACCCACACCACAAGCACAAGCATCTAAAATCCTCTCATTACCAGGAACTATATCTATAGACTTACTCAAGCAAAATAAAGGAAAGTTTCCTCGGACACCCCAAAATACTAGGTATGGTTTATAAAATTAAAATATCTAATTATCTCCCCTATTCATTCAAGGCAGGAGTTTTGAAAGATTCCTGAACTGGACATTTGATTTTCTGCAGCTCAACAAGAGCGACTCCCTGCCAAAAGTGTCTGGCACAAATGCTAGTTTTTGAGCTGGATTCTGAGCACTAGTTCACTGTTGACCTTATGCTGATGAAGTTTGTGCCAGCACCATTTTTGGCAACAGAAGGTCTTCTGCTTTTTGTGTTAATTGCGCTGTAAAAAGATCCATGCTTTGAGGAGCCCTGGGAGTTCTGATTTTCCAAGACCCCAGCCATGGCTGGGACATGGTGTGGGAGTGAGGCACTCCAGTCTCAGAAGGGCATCAGCTGAAACCCACACTTAAATGACAGCGCTTGCCAGGTGGATCAGTCTGTTGAGCTAGATTCGATCGTATGATATCTAAGCAGTTTCTGCATCTGACAGAGAGCCTGCCATGTCCTTTCCCCACCCAACTTGCAGGATGTGTCCATTACTATTTCCCGGAGAACCCCAAGTCTTCATGGTGCTGTTGGGAAATGATGCCCATCTCATTATCACACGGCAGGAGGTCAGGTCCAAGTGTTCTTTGGGTGTCCTTGAATGTCTAGCATTAAGGAGGGAAAGTAGAGTAATGAAAGAATTGCAGGAAGATGGTTATTACAGGCAAGGAGATTGATCTCCTAAAAGGAGAAGTGCTAAATCGTCGCTGTGCATTTTGGGAAACATGCCTTGGCCTCTGCCCACCAGTCTCATTTCATTGGTGGCGTTCTGAGTCAAAGCCACACTCTACTGAATTAGACTCCCGGTGAACTCCATTAAAGTCATGCTCTGATTGTCTCCCAGAGGCGGAGCTCAGTCACCATCCTTCCCTCCCTTTCTCTGAAAACATATTTCTTTTTTGCAGATTAGTGATTCTCAACTAGGAGTGATATCACTCTCCTTTCTTCCCCCATCAGACACAAAGAAGACACCGACAATGTCTGAAGACACATTTGCTCTCCACACCCTGGAGGGAGGAGGTTGCTACTGGCATTTCATGACTAAAGGTAGAGATGTTGATCAACATCCTATTAACACATTTGCTTTCCACACCCTGGAGGGAGGAGGTTGCTACTGGCATTTCATGACTAAAGGTAGAGATGTTGATAAACATCCTATTAGACTCAATAAGTAACATCTGGTCCCAAATGTGTGGTCGCAAATATCAACAGTGGCAAGGTTGAGGAACCCTACTTTAGAAATTGAAATACTCTCATTATCTAGCAGTTGGTGAAGCTCCTAACCATTTCATGAGACTCACTCCCATTTCTAAGAAAAAATGATCAGGAAAAGAGAAAAAGAGGGCAGATATTTCACATTTGTATTGCTCAGTGGTTGAAAGTATGACTGTGAATAACTCATGATCATAATTAAGGACAGGATTACTGGGGTCAAATTCCTTGGATATAAGTCTCAACTGTGGTCATTGACAGAAATAAGATTTTAGACCAGGACCTCCCAATGCATGAGGCTGCCTGGGGCTGAAGTGCCTGGGCCATATAGCCTCTACTAATATGCACCATGCATGTTAGTCTGGGTTGACTAGAGAAACAAATTCATAGACACTCATATGTATATAAGAAAGGGCTTTATATACAAGAGCAATTGAATATTGAGAAAACATCCCAGCCCAGTGCAGATCAAGTCCATGAGTCCAATATTAGCCCATATGTCTGATACCAATCTATAAATTCCTCTTCAGACTCATACAACACATGCAATGATGCCGAATGCAAGAAGATCACAGGCCAGTGGAAGGAAAATCTTGTAGATCCTGTGGCTGTGGAAACATCTCAGCGCTGGCATGGGTCTCCGTGTGTGTGTGTATGTGTCCCACCCCAGCGAGCTCTTTATCTTCTTAGTGCCTCCAAATGAGGTCATCAAACTGTGACCTGATTGACAGGCTAAACTCCACCCCTTCACTCTTAGTCTCAAATTGACAACAGATTATGGAACCACCACACCCTGCATCCCTACATAGGGATGGCCACTGGGCAGGTACCTTCCTTTGTTCAAATGGAAGCCTTTCCTCCATCTAAAAAGAAATAACAAAAACCACACCACGGAGTTGATTCTGACTCATGATAGCTGCTTGTGTGACAGAGCAGAACCGCTCCTTTGGGTTTTCTTGACTAATTCTCACAGAAGCAGGCTGCCTGGCCTTCATTCTGTGCTGCCATTGGGTGGGTTATAACCAATAACCTTTAGGTTAGTAGCCAAGTGAACATTATTTGTGCCAGTCAGAAACCTACATTTAGATTAGAATAAAACAATTCGCTATCAATTCTGACACATGAAAGTCCAAGGGCAAGGCTGGATGTGTTGGAACCAGACTGCCAGGTCTTTCTTCCAAGGTACTCTCAGGCAGAGTCACCCCGCCAATTTTTTCATTAGTAGTCTGTGTGTAACCATTTCTGCCACTTGGAGACTCTTTAGATTAGAGTTCTTAGTGCCTGGTATATCATAGTTGCTCAGTTAAGTACTTTTGGATTGGATGAGCAAACAGAGCCTTAAAAAGCCTGAACTAACCAGAAAAGTTGACTGGCTTTTCACACCTATGTAAGGTGGTATGATAGCTTTATTGGTTGGCCATCTTATTGGTGCCATCTTATCTCTCTGCAGTCAAAACAAAGTTATAACTTCGTAAGGATAAAAGGTGAAAGGTGTAACCACACCATACTGCCTGCAGAGGAGAGGGCCCTCTCTCTAAATCTTGTCCTCAACCTCAGTCAGTAAGAGGATTAATTTCTATAGCAAGCTCTGCACATTTCTAAACATGGAGATCCTTTGGCGTAACACAGTTCACAAAGACAATGATCGGCATTCTGCTTTGGTGAGTGGTGACTGAGGTCTGCAAGGTGTGTGACTGCCAAGGAAACAATCCGGTCTGTCGTGGAGGACGCACAGCCAAGTGGTTCCCTAGAAGCAAGAATGGCCAGATTGTCTCACATACATTGGAGATGTTCTCAGGAGAGACCAATCCGTGGAAAAGGACGTCTGCTCGGTAAAATAAAGGGGCTGGGAAGAGGAAAAACCCCAAAGAAGATGGATTGGCACAGTGGCTGCAACAATGGGCTCAAACATAAGAACAGTGGTGGGGAAGGTGCAGAGCGGAGCAGTGTTTCATTATGTTTTGGACAGGGTTGCTATGAGTCGGAATCCATTTGATAGCACCTAACAACACAACAGCTATCTAAAGTGCATTTAAAGGCTCTCCCTGCCCAGAGGGAAGGAGAGTGGATAACATTGAAGGTGCATGGAAACAATTAGTTCGATGTACTAATGGACCAGGGCAACATCAGTCTACAGGACTCTGAGACCTGGCTATCTCTCCTGAGAGGAATCATATTAGAAGCTCCCAGATAGAGTGGGAGAAAAATAAGAAACAAAACTCAAAATCATAAAAAGAGCAGGCCTACTGGTCTGATACAGAATGATGGAACGTTGGCCCTTAGTCACCCTTGAGCTGTGGAAATGAATTGAACCCTATGGCTCAATTTTCAATGGAACAATAGACAGGTCTCTAAGGCAGACAATAACACTGGAGAGGTGTACACATCTTATAAGAACCAACCACCAGTGATCCAATGGGCAGCACTCACCCAAGTTCCAAGTTCAGAAGGTTAGGGAAGAAAGCTGGATGGAAACAGGAAGCACGGGAGGACATGGGGTGTGCGATGTTGCATGGTGGGGATTGCAAACATTGGCATACATCAAAAGGTGTATGCGTTACTAAATGGAAACCTGATTTGTATGCTAAGCCTTCACCCAATGTACAGTACAACCGGTGTTTAAAAGGTTTTAAATAACAATCATGAATAAATAAACTGGAGGAAAATATAATGAAGGGCTGGCAATTCCCCTGCTAGGAGGCCCAGAGTGTCTCTATGAATTTGTTTCTCTAGTCTACCCAGACTAACACAATGACACAACAGTTACACAAGTACTATGAATTGTGTAAAAAGATATGCTTATAAATTTTAGAGATTAAAATAATTTTCTAAAATCTGTCGGCAACGTTTACCTGCCTGCATCTGAGTGACAAAGGTGGCTTGGAGGACCCATCAGACACAGCGTCCTTGTGAACTGAGGACATTTAGTCTGAGCATCTTGCAAACTCACACGCTCACAGTTATCTTGCTGATTTGTTTGAGCATTTTCTCAGGTTTCCTCTCATATCTATGTATTCGTGTACATATATGTATATATTATGTATAATATGTTTTGCTTTCATCATTGCTGCAAGCCATAGGCATCAGCTCACACCTCCTACCACACAGCAGACACACGTGAGGAACAAGGATGCAGATGCTCTTGTTTAAAACGCTGCATAGAACACATCGGCTGGTGGGAATGAGAACAAGGGATGCAGGCTCCGAGTGGCAGGAGGAGCAACACGGCCAGATGGAGACTGTGACCCGGAGGAACCTCAGGAACAGGAATCCTTCAGGCTTGGTCGGTGTCAGACTCTCATGGGAAACTTGGTAACATCTCTGACAAGCTCGTGCCTCTCCAGGTGACAATGCGGCTCTCAAAGTCTGAGAATGATCACATTTCATCACTCTGCTCCCGCCATCCTTTGCAGGACAGGACATGTTTCTGGAACATGTGAGAGGCTTTAAAGAGGCCATGGAGACATGGAATGAACAGATAATGACATTTCCCAGGAACTTTTGAAGCCCCCCTCGTACGTTCCTGGTAATCTAAGCCCCTGCTGTTGAGTTGACCCTGTAGGACTGGTTAGAACCACCCCAGAGTTTTCCCCAGAGCAGCTGAGGGGCTTGAAAGTAACCATGGGCTTTAACCATGAAGATTAATCATGAAGGCTCTTTTCCTCTCAGCATAACCAACTGAAAGCATCTTGGGTAAGGAAAATCTTGGGCATTTGAAACAAATGCTCACCCTTTAGAGTAAGAAACTGGCTTTTAATATGACAGAGAGCAAGGAAGAGTGCTGAGAATGTCATGAGCTTTCATGATTAAATTATGTAATGGCATTATTTAATAATTATATTAAATTACGTGATGGATTAGATTGTGTGCCCACTCCACCCCATGGCTAAAGTAGGTTCTTGAATCCTAACCTTTTTGCCTATGGATCTAAACTTCTTTGGTACATTAATGAGACAATATCAGTTTAGGGTGTGTCCTAAATCTAATCACTTCTGAGTTATAAAATGAACAGATTAGATGTAAAAGCAAGACCAAAGGGAGGAGGGGAGCTAGATGCCCTGGAGAACTGAGAAATAATGGGGAAGGACGTCCTGCTTGGTAAAATAAAGGGGCTGCGAAGAGGAAAAACCCTAAAGAAGATGGATTGGCACAGTGGCTGCAACAATGGGCTCAAACATAAGAACAGTGGTGGGGAAGGTGCAGAGCGGAGCAGTGTTTCATTATGTTTTGGACAGGGTTGCTATGAGTTGGAATCTATTTGATAGCACCTAACAACACAATAGCTATCTAAAGTGCATCTAAAGCCCAAAGAGACCTTGCTCTCCAACAGAGAGAGAGCTTTCTACTAGAGCTGGCGTCACTTCAGACTTCAAGCTTATAAACAGGAAATGGTAAGTTTCTGTTCTTTAAAGCCATCACTTTTAGCATTTGTGTTACAGCAACACAAGAAAGCTAAGACATCTGGCAACACTTTCCCCCACCAATTTGCCCTCCTCCCCCCATTGCTTCCCTCCCTGAGTTCTAGGCAGCCTGTGGTACCTGGTGAGAAGAACAGCCACATCATGATGAACAGGGTTGAGGTCGCTCTTGGGATTGATGCTCTTCTGCCACTTGCAGAAGCTGGACAGCGTCTTCTCGGCATGGTGCACTATTTTCAATCCTTGCTGGAGGAAGAAGGAGAGATTGTCAGGATTGGGCTCAATGGCTCAGGGTAGGTGGAAGGGGTGCTAGTTGCAGAGAATCCACGGGAGATGAGCTTAGGGCCAGGGCCTCGGGTATTCAGCAGAAAGTTGACAGAAGCAACTTACTCCTCTGGGCAAACTCTTTGTTATGTACACGATCACTGTCCTTTCTTGCATGTCTTCATGCAAGGAGCCTGACCTGACAGGGAGAACTCCAGGGCAGAGGTTATCATGGGGACAAGTAGCCCTGGGAGAAAAATTTAAATTTATTAAAAAGACCAGCATTTATTTAAAATTTTATTTCTAGTAATTGTATATATATAGAGAGAGGGCGGGGTGGGGGAGAAAGAAACACACAGAGAGATGATCTACTTGACAGTTTGACCCCACCAAAGAACTTCACAGGAGAAAGACACGGCTATTTGCTTCAGCGAAGATTACAGTCTAGAAGACCATATGGAACAATTCCAAATGTCACAAAGGAGTCAAAATAAACCCCAAAGCTGTATTTTTTATCTCCTTCACTCGTTGGACTGTGGTGGATTGCTTATTGCTCTGATGCTGAAAGCTATGCCACCAGGGTTCCAAATGCCAGCCGAGGCATCCCTGGTGGATCGATCTCACCAAGGTTATCAGACTAAGGACAGACTAAGAGTACCAAGTAAACCGTGTGTCCCTGAGGGATCCGCTGCGTCTGAACAGCAGCTGGATTGTCTGGCACAGTGCCAGAGGATGGACTCTTCAGCTTGGAAACTCTCAAACTCACGCTGGTAGTTCCCTGTTAATATATTGCTACAACCACCGTTAATTGATCCTCAGCAACACTTTCCAGGCAAATATCGTTTGCTAATTTGCAGATTCCATCAGGTCACCTTTCTTTGTAATGACTACAAATAAGGCTCTCTTCCAATCAATTGACAAGCTAATCGTTTGCCAGATTCCTTCTTCTTGACACATGAGTGCTTGCAATGCTTCATTGGTGGATTGAAACATTTCCGCTGGTATTCTACAACTTCATGAAGTCTTGGTTTCTGCTCGTGCATTCAGTACAGTTTGAACTTCTTCCTTCAGTATCATGGTTCTTGTAATGAGTGAATGTCAACCATAGAATCTTCCAGTATTGCAACTCAAGGCTCCAACTTCGCTTCTGTTCTTTCGGCTTGATATGTGCTGAGTGCAGTCTTCCTGGGTTTTCTACCTCCAACTCTGTGCCCATTTCATTGTTCTATTTTACTTTACCTAGAGCTGCTCTGTGAGGTTTTCTGTTCAGCGCTTTCACTTTCATCATTTGTTTCCATTGCTTTAGCCACTTTATGATCAAGAAAAAGTGTGAGTGTCTCTTCTGGTTTTTGAAAAATGATATTTGCAATGAAGGAGTCATTGGACTTACCAATTCTCTCATGGGTTCTCCAGGTTTGTTTTTATAACCAAGGCTCTATTTTCCAACTATTTGTCCTTTCTCTTTGCTTCTAACATTCCCATTCTGATCACAAATAATTATCAATGTATCTGGATTGCACGTTTGATCAGTTTCAGACCGAAGACATTGGTATAATTTTCCAATTTCTTCATCTCTAGCTGTAGCAGCTGATATGTAAATATGAACTGGTATGAATTGTATGAACTGGCTTTCCTTGAATGTGCATAGCTATTATGCTGACACACAAAGCATTATACTTCAAGATAAATCTTGACATGTTATCTTTAACAATAAGTTTGACACCATTTATCTTGAACTTATGAACTCATAGTAAGCCATATCATTATCTTATTCAACATGGCTAATATTAGTCCATTTAGCTCACTCTCTACTCACATAAAAATATTTGATCTTTATATTACATTTCATTTTTGTTGACTTCCAATATTCTTAGATTCATATTTCATGTATTCCAAGGTTCTATTATTAATAGATGTTCACAGCTGTTTCTTCTCATTTTGAGCCTACCACATCAACAAATGAAGGATAACAGATTTTTTGCGAGGGGATGGAGGAAGGCTGTAGCTATAAAATGAAAAGTAAGATTAACAATCTCTGTGATGTAATTGTTCTGTGTCTTTATGGTAGCAATGGTTCCTCAAATATACATATGTTATGATATTTCATAACAGTAACAATAAATTCCTTATAAGTACAAGGAAAACTCATGAAATCTGAATAAGATAGGGGGACTGTATCAACATAAACTTCTTGGTGGTAAATATTGTACTAACACTATGTAAGATATGGCCATTGGGTGGCAGTGGATACACAGTTTGGTGTATTTGTACTATTTTTTAAAACTGCACATGCATTTACCATGAAATAGAAATATAAAAATATATATTTAAAATAACAGTTTTAATAACTCAAGGTTGAGGGAGATTCAACAGAAGACCTGATGAAATACTTTCTTGTATGATGCAAGTGAATTTCTCACCAACAGTTTCGGAGTGAAGGTAACCTATATTGTTTCAGATGGCTTACCGTGAACAGGAAGAACCCACATATTCACGTATCCTCTCATTTACCCACGTACTAACTAAAGTTCCATCAATTTCCCTATTTAAATAACCATGAGTACAAATATTCACTAGGTAGCCCACAAGTAAATGCAGAAGGAGCTTATAGCTGCTCTTAGGTCTAAGAATTTCTGGTAAAGTCACAAAACTCAAGATGAGACTTTGTGTAATCTGAAAAGTCCAAACTTGTGGCATAGTATGTAAAGTACTCGATTGCCAACTGGAAGGTTGGGAGTTTGAGCCCAGCAGCTGTTCCACAAGAGAACTATGTGACAGTTGGCTTCCAAAGGATTAATGACTTAGGAAAACTTAAACTCACATTGAGTTGATGCCAACTCATAGCGACCCGACAGGACATGGTTTCCAAGACTGTAATTCTTTATGGGAGTAGAAAGTCTCATTGTTCTCCACAGAGTAGCTGATAATTTCTAATTTTTGACCTTGAATCACTTAAACTTTGTCATTTGAGTCACTATGAGTCAGAGTTGACTGGACACAAATGTGTGTGTGTGTGTGTCTGTGTGTGTGTGTGTGAGTTTGGGTGATGGTGGTGAGGGGTCATTTTCCTTTGATACATTGGCATGTATCATCATTTGGAAGAATGGACATACAATGTGTGTCTGCTTAAGAAAAAGTGTATATTTACAAACATTTCCTTGTTCTTAAAACAAATTAAAGACATCTTTGCCAGGACATCTTGACTGTGGTGTAGAAAGCAGTATTAATTTCCAGTTGTGGCAAAACATAAATTCTTGCCTCCAATTTTTCATCATTATGAAGAAGCCATTCTTCAGAAGGGCTTCAGAAATTATGTGTCTAATCTTCTCATTTAAACAATGAGAAAATTGAGGTCACAAAGAGACACAGCTAGTCTTACCACATCTTCTCAGACTTTGTATGAACTCTTCTTTCTTTGCCTTCTTTTTAGATTTCTGCTCTGCTCACACTCACTTATCATTCTCTTTTTTGGGGGAAATAATTTATATACTGATAACCCACTAAAATATGAGTTTATCAAATATTCTTGGGGTGAGGATCAGGTAGTATGGCAGGGACCAGACCAAATCCAGGGATACATATGGTAGCCAACTAAAAAGGAGGTAAGGAAAGGAAAAAAAATAATAATAAAGAAATGGGTGATGGGGGCACAGGCCACTAACCCACCCAAACGGGGAGAGAGGGTATTGTTTATATCTCCACAGCAACAGAGGGACCAGACTTCAACCCAGTGTTCCAAGAAGTGAATGCAACATGACGGCGTGGAGTAGGGAACCAGTGGAGAGGTCTGAGGGGCCGGCCCCAATCTGAACTACGTGGACACCTGCCCCTCCCCCCAGAAGAATTTATTTCAAAGGATGGTGCTGAATCTGCAGCTCTGGGAGAGGGACATATCTGATTGGAGCATACGGGAGCAGATGAAGGATGAGGAGGAGAGAATGGAGCACATCCTGGCCCACCATGCCTTGAGGACGATATTCCCACCCAGAGCAGCCAGTCCACAGAGAAGAACACATGGCGAGCCCCACTATGAGACATGACACCCTTCACTGACCCATAGCCCTACAGGGACAACACCGGAGACACAGTGTGGGAATTGTACCCGATCTGATCCCACCACACCGAGGCAAAACACTAAGGGGGTGCAACAGAACAGCAA